AAAGCAGGATATGTGACGCCCATGTAAGACAAAAGACCTTCAGACTAGACTGGAGAGGATGTGGAATATGAGGATGAGTGATGGGCTAAATCTTATTATTATATGTTGTATTAATTGATACATGTATTCTTAGTGTAAGTCAAGATACTACACGTATGTGTTTTGTTTCCATGATTACAGCGCCCATGTGACGATCAGTCCATGAAGTAGACTACATTGTGTTAGACTCGGCCAGCTGGGAACGAGGTGGAGAACGAGGTGGAGAACGATGTGGAGAACGAGGTGGGGATGAAGTGGAGAATAAGCTGAAACAGGCAGACAACAGGCAAGGAAGAGTTGGACAAGCTTGACAGTTCCTCACGGCTGTCAGAGGCTTATAAGTTGAGTTAACCCCTTTATGTTAACCTATTATCATCATTATCATACCACTCTAAACCCCGAGCTGTTTTTCTCGCTGAAGCTTACCACTATCATCAAATTAACCAGTCACTGTTTGTGTAAATCAACAAACTGGGAATTTCATTGTAGTAAATAAAGCTGTATGTCAAGTTTTAAACTACATAGTTTGTTAAATTCCAAATGTCTGTTCTTACATGTTTAAGTAAACTGTTAAGATAGAATACCATTTGGTGGGGGCTCAAATAATATAATAATTCTTTAATTATTCATAATAAAACCGGGAGAAGGTAGATGACGGAGGAATCACTTGCCCTGTCTAATTATTCATTAAGTATGATAGACATCTAAAATTCCTTGCCTTCTCTTGTGGGTACCAAGTGCAGCTAATGTTAAAGTACTTAACGAGCCAATATGGTTGTTTTCTTGGGTATCCAGGACTGTGTCTGAGAGCAACATAGCTCAGATTATAGTTCCGTTAATCTGGTGGAGGGAATGTGTTGAGAGGAACATTCCTACTCAACATTACAAACCATTAAATACCACCGTCACGTCACAGTTGTTACTTAATTGAGGTCCTAATATCACACTCGCTCTTCGTTCTCATATTTTTGCAAACATCTTTCCTACATGGCTTTGTAAAGAGATACCTCTGTATGTTTCACAATCTCGTTTAACACTTTTCTTCTTCCATATGGGAACTATAATTGCTCTCTGCCAGTCAACGGGAACTTTCATTTCCTCCCAGGCCATATTGAATATTCTTGTCAGCCATTTTACTGCTGTTGCCTTACATGCAAGTATTATGTCTGTTGTAATACCATCTGTTCCGGCCGCTTTGTTTCTTTTGCTTTGCTCTAGGATCTTTTCAACTTCAGATTCTAATATATTAGGTTCTTGTTCTTGTCCAAATTTTATTTTATTAGACACTGGTTCTTGTGGTTCACTATTCAGTAATTCAGAAAAATATTCTTGCCATCTTCTTTTAACATCTTGGGATTTGGTGAGTGGTTTTTTAGCCTTGCTGTTTATGATCTTTGATGGGTTAAATTTCTCTTCTCTCAGTCTCATAGCCTTGATGCTTCGGTAGAACTGACCTGGTGAATCAGTGCATAGCCTTGCTAATTGTTCTCCGTAGTTTGCCCATGATTCTGATTTCGCCGAATTTACTTTCCTCTTGCTCTTTGCTCTTGCTTTTCTATGTTTGATGTAGTCCTCATCTAATTTGGACTTTTGCCACTGATGAAAATATTTCTTCTTTTCTTTGATAGAAATTTTAACTTCTTCATTCCAACATGCTGTTTGTTTCATGTGCCTTCTTGGCTTTCGGAGTCCGCACTTTTCTGTCATTACATTCAGGATGCAGGTTTTAAAAATTTGCCACTCTTCTTCTATGTCATTTCCTCTCTCTAGAGTACTGAAGGTGTTTTTAACTGTTTCCTCAACTTGAATTGCCACATCTTTGTCTTTTAGTTTCTCTATGGCTATCTGATCCATTAGCTGTGGTGTTTTATCAGTGCAAATTCGGTTGGTTTATAGAGCCAAAGTACTACAGGTCTATGGTCAGAGTCTATTATTGCATTTGGGATGGCCCTGGAGTTCTTTATTCTCCATCTGTCGATCTTTTTTGTGAGAATAAAATCTATCTGTGATGCTTGGTTAATATTATTCCATTTATACCAGGTCAGTGTCTTGCTTCTCTTATGTTGGTATAGCGTGTTGCTGATAATTAGTTCATGCTCTGCATATACATTGAGTAATTCTTCTCCATTGTTGTTACAATTATTTTCTTTGTCACTAAATGGTCCCATATATGTGGACCATGGAGGTCGACGTTCTCCCACATGTCCGTTGAAATCTCCCATCACATACAAGCCATCAGTGTCTGTAACTTTACTGATGGTTTTACTAAGTTGGTCAAAAAATTCCGTTCTTTCTTCTTCAGTGTAAGTGTCGTTACAAGTAGCATATACTTGAATATACGATACTCTTCTTTTACCTGCAGCCAGTCTGATACTTATGATTCTCTCTGACACGAATTCTGAATCTAGTAAATATTTTGCTGTTTCTGGAGCAATGATAAAACCCACTCCATGTTTATTAGTTTCTTGTGGTTGAGTCCCTTTCCAAATCAGAACAAAGTTCTTATGAATTTTCTGGACGCCTTGAGCTTTTCTTCTGATATCAGCAATTCCCAAAACTTTGATTTTACTCTTAATTATAAATTCAACCAATTCAGCCACTTTATTCCCCATACCACAAATGTTCCATGTAGCCATCTTAAAAACTGTCGTGCCGGCTCTATCTATCTTGGCCGGTGTTTCTTTCATGTTTCTTTCAAAATACACCATAAATCTTGAGCAATGGTGCTTGAACAAACAAATCCCCTACCGGCTTGCTGGGCCTGTCGTTGGATCATCCTTGTTTGAACAATAATTTGATGGAAATTCCCTAAAACAAAATTTATCAAAACTGCATAGTGATAGCCGCAACTTATTCCGCCATCTTGCCCCATCTTCCCAAAAACGGTCCTAAATTATCGAGGCAGAAAATATACCCTAACAGGGCCTCAGTCACGTGTCAATTGCGCACTTCCGGCGACTTAAATTGCGCACTTCCGGCGACTTCCGCTACCGCCACGCGGCGTGGACTGGGGCTAAACTAGATGGCTGGGACTCACGAGAAGCAGCTAGCGCAAGCATATCCTGCACCAGCCTTCATTTAATTTAATTTGCTCGTGAGTCCTAGCCATCTAGTTTAGCCCCAATCCACGCCGCGTGGGCGATACCCTTGACGGTGGCGGAAGTCCCCGGAAGTTTGCAATTCGGCGGCGGCGGTACAGTCCCTAGATGTACGCAATTGACACGTGACTAAGGCCCTGTTAGGGTATATTTTCTGCCTGGATAATTTGGGACTGTTATTTGGAAAATAGCTTAACACTTAATTACACAGAAAATTACAAAATGTAATTACTAATGGATCAGAACGTCCCTTGACATCATAAAAATACATGAGTCCGTGAAGCAAGTGTGCGGGTAAAAGCCAGAATGTGCATACACAGCACAGCGGACAAGCTAAGGGAAATGATCTAGCGTAAGACATTAACAATTGCTTTTTTGTAGACAGCCGGGCCAATCAGAATCTAGAACCATAGAAAGCTAGCAAAAACTGAAAACTGCTTGCGGAAATTGATCGCCCAAAGACATGTTGAATTCAGATTGACATCACAGCAGGCGGGACAGTCTCATAAGCACTCCGGTCCCAATTTAAGCAGTAAGCGCAAACTCCAATTCCGGTGGCGCGAGTAACTGTCTGATTGTACATCCGTTTCACCTTTCCATCGAGTGAGGAGGGTCAACCATATCCCCTCGTCCCTCCCCGCAACACCATTCTTCCCAGACCGTGCTGATCTATTCTAAGACAAGGCTTGGCACAAAAGTATCCCATAATTTGCTTTATGATAACATTTTCATATTTCCAAGAGTTCTTCTTCTTAGTGTTCATCGGCTGTAAACTCCAGAGGAAAATTGTGGTTGTTCGTCCACTTTTAGACCTAAGTCTTGTTCCAGAACTCAAGTACTGCATAGACATCCATTTGGACAAATTCAACTTTTTTTAATGCAGACCGTTAGTTCCTCGTTTCTCCGGCAGATTCACTATGACTTACAGGTACCGTAACGAGTCGACTTTTACGACATGCTTGTTAGGAGACAGTGAATCTACGCCCCCACCCCCCTCCCCCAGCACCCCGGAACATACATGGGGAAGATTCCTTACACTAACAGTATTGTAAGCAGCAACTGTCATTTAACGTTAAAAGAAATCCTATTAAACTTCTTCAGGGTTATATTTGGTACATACAAAAGCAAATTCGTAATCCCAGAAGCCAGTGAACGCTTTATGTACCAAATATAACCATCAAGAAGTTTAATATGTTATATATATATGATTATTTCTTTCAGTCATGTTTACCATTTGATTCCATCTTTTTTTATGTTTATTATCCTGTTCACAACTTGTGGTGTGTGATTATGACAGGTACTGTACAATGAGTATTTCTAAAATAGTAAACGGCATTGTGTCTTAAAATAATGAATTTTTATAAATTGATTATGTTATTCAAAGATCATTGTGTGTTTCAAGGTGTCACTGTGTATCTTTTTAATACTTGCGGTTAAATTAATATTCCAATTTGAGCTAGCGAATGTTAATAATAATTGCACTAATTGAAACAAGCGGTACATGAAAATGACAACATAAGAACAACAAATGTTACCTGATTACAAAAAAAAAAAAAAAAAACTGCTCTTATAGTTTATACCGCGAGTGTCTTCGGTAGGCCTGTCTATCTGGGACATTTTATCGGGTGTACTTTGAATCAATTTTGATGATCTTCCATTTAAAAATGAATTAATAGTTTCCAACATTAACTTTTGGTCTATAATTGTTTCGTTAGGCGGCACCATGTCCACTTTTATACATTCAGACATGGCGGCACACTGTAAACTGCGATAACCTTCATGTCCACGGCTCAGTTTTGCAATAACAGATATTGAATCTATATTTAATCTGCTTTTATAAAATACAAACTTTTAAAAGGCAAAATGCCTATTCGATACGTTGGCCGAGATCCTGTTCAGTTTGCTAAATCTCTATACGAAATCTGTAGACAGCTTCGGGACTGGGGAGTCGGTCGAGTCGTTTACAAACATCGACTGTCGGAGCTGCATCCCACACAGAAGTCCTACTTCAGGTTAACTAGCGTCGTTCCTGTACTGAAGAGTCCGGTGAGTTTTGTTCAGTTATTGTTTATACATGCAAGCAATGGTTCCATTCCAGTCAGTCAACCAGGTGCCACAGTGAAGCTTGGCTGCAATGAATGGATCTCCACACGGTCTATATCTCTTGTCTTGACTCTCAGTTTCAGACTGCTGCCCATCCATCTCCTAATAAATGTTGTCCTCCCACTCGAATCTTTGCCCACCGCTTTTCTCTCTTACTCTCTTACCTTCAACCTTTCCCCCACAGTATGGTATATCTTTTTATGTGGTCAAAGTATTTCAGTTGCTTTTTTAAAATTTCGGTTCTGGGTTCTCCTTGCACCTTTGGACGCAAGCTGGACGGCTTAGGTCGGCTTAGTGGGAGTTCTCTCCCTTGGCCGCACTCAAAACAACGAGCGGAAAAGTCACGAATCAAATGACATACTTACCTATCAACATCCGGGTGCGTGTAGGGTTGCGTAGTCATCATACGGTTCCGTCTAGGGTTACCTATCATCATACGGTTGCGTGTAGGGCTGCGTAGGGTGTCTATCATCATCATACGGTTGCGTGTAGGGCTGCGTAGAGTGTGGGTTGGGGATAGGGGTAGGGTTAGATGTGAAAATGGTGACGTAGAACTTCCAAGAACTGGAAGACAATTTGATGCTTGTGGGAGTGGCGCCACTGGAAGTGTGCCAAATATGACGGCAATAGTGCGCGGCTGGTGCCCAATCGGTGGCGAATTGTCCGTGTCAGTAGCATCCACCGTCCGTCGACTGTTTGGGTGTGTTTGTGACTGTGCGCGATTATAGGGAACTACGGCGTCAAAATTGTCACATCTAACGCTAAACCTAACTCTACCCCTAACCCTAACCTTACCCCTAACCCTACTCCTAACCCTACCCCTAACCGTAACCCGAACCCTACCCCTAACCCTAACCCTAACTAACCTTAACGCTACCCCTAATCCTAACCCTAACCCTAACCCCAATCCTACCGCTAACCCTAACCCTACCCCTAACCACACAAAATTATAGGTCATTACAGCATACAGATCAGCAAAACACCAAAACCCCCCCCCCCCCCCCCCCCCCCCCCCCCCCCCCAGATTTCCCCGCAGCGTCAAAAGAAAAACCCAGATCTGGGGGACACAACCAAGCATTGGCAGCCCTGATGTCGACCTCACTGTCTTGTTTGATTTGTGACTTTTTCCGCTACTTGTTTTGAGTGCGGCCAAGGGAGAGAACTCCCACTAAGCCGACCTAAGCCGTCCAGCTTGCATCCAAAGGTGCAAGGAGAACCAAAATTTCTTTCAACAACTTTCTACTCATTTGCAGTTATTTTAGAACACATGAATTCATTACAATTACACTATTTTTGTTTCCATGAAATATAACTTATTCTTTTGTATTGTACCCACATTTCCAGAAATTGAATTAAATTTTCTAGTTGCTTGTTCATTGTCCAAGTTTCTGAACCATATGATTGGGTATAAATAACATTTGACGATTCTGATTTTTAGTGTGTTATTTATCAATAATTTGAGCATCTTATTGAAGACAGTTTTAGACATTCCTGTTCTCTTTTTGATTTCTGTTTCGCTTCTTCCATCATTTGTTACTAGGTGTCCCAGGTAAGAGTATCTTGTTACTTGTTCTGATAGTTCTCCGTTTACTGTGATCTTCACTTTTGGCCGCTCTTTTCCATTGTTAATTACTATGGTTGTCTTTCCAATGGTTCCATTAAATAACACTGTAAAATACAGCTGAAAACACAGCTGAGAGAAGATATTTGAGATAAGTGGTGGCTCTTGACTGTCAACTCTTGAGAGTTCCAACTTCCACTGTTGTTGTCACACTCTGTTTCATTGAAGATGACAGCATTTTTTTTTTTTTTGTAAACTTTCGTCAGGGCATGTAGTGAACAAAGCCTCTACCAGAATTGCAAGATATATGGAGAAGCATGATCACTAAAGCCTGTTCAGTTGGCAAGAAACTGTATGCTTTAAATATTATATCTTCTCTTTAATTTACAATTAAGGATTGATCAAGCATAATGAATAATGATAAACTTCAATAAAACCCTTAAAAGAGGTACCTTCTTGACTTCCCAACCATGAACTGCAGGACTTTAAGAGCTCATACATACCTCAAGATAAGCTCCAATCTGTAGCACCCTTTGCACCACATGCTCTTCAGGAAAAAAGTGCAACAGACTGAAAAGGGGTGAATCATGACTGGCTAGGGTAGCGAATGATATCAAGCAGGTCTGCAGACTTACAGATATTCACCCTGGTGAGGAATGGATACCAGTGCCTGAAGTGCTGTCTCACCTTCTCATGAGTTGGAAGCAGAATCCTGTTGCTGTCAATGCAGAGTTTTGTATACACTGGCAGGTCCAATATACGAGGACGTAAGAGTGCAAGGACATTTACAGCTCACTCTTTGGGCAGGGCAGTTCAAGAAGCCAGCTGTGCCATAACAGTGACAAAAGCTTTTATGTGCCTAGAATCACTGGACTGTTACTGCATATGTGTCCTGAGTGATTCTATAGGCATTATCTGGCAGGTTGAGGCAGGCTGCATACGCAGACAGTGGATTGAGTCATTGCAAAACTCTCTCGTCTATATTGTTACCTTTATATTTGTGCCAGGGTATGCGGGTGTTGTTGTCAGTGGAATAGCTGATAGATTGGCAGGCTCTGCTTTATTTGTAGATGGCCGACCTATGGATCACACACACGTTGTCAATGCCCTTAGAGAGATAGCATGTTCCGAGGATTTTGAAAGCAACGTGTCCACATCACTACTTAGAATACGAGATTTGGGAGTAAAGATCGGCACAGCCAAGCAAGAGAGCACACCTCCTGCACAAGAATTCTTGTCAACCAGCATGAAAATGTCACTATTAACAGTGTGACACTTATGAATTTGTTGAAGGGGGATCTAAGCACTTATAAATGTGTCACGAGTGCCTTGAAGATAATCCAACTCATAACTCTAAAGCTATGTGTAGAGTATATAGTGAAGTATAGAATCAACGTCACTGTACATTCTAAATATTGGAATAAAAGTTATCTTTCTGAAAAAAATTTGTTAAAATAAAATATTAAAGTGATATAACTTTATAATGAATTAATTGTGGGTCCGGCATTTATAGAAATCCATGAGAAAACATTCTTGTTTTGCTGAAATGTAAAGTATTTATGTCAGTCACAGAGCTGGAATGCTACTGGTTCAACAACCACTCATCATCATCAGTTCTCATCAGGCCTAGGGGCACATGAGGCTTCAGAGAGGACTTTCCATGCTTTCCTGTCCTGTGCACTCTTCAATGCAGTTTTCCATGTCAAAGATGCCGTACTCAGGTCACTTTCCATCGTTCGTCTCCATGTTGTTTTTGGGCTCCCCTGTTTTCTCTTTCCCTCTGGTGTCCATGTGAGAGATGTTTTGGCAGGTATATCATGATTCATTCTCATAACGTGGCGAATCCACTGTCAAACCAACACAAGACAAATAGTCCACAGCCGGGATCAAACCCAGCATTACAAAGTGCATTCGCAATGCCTAAGCCACAGAGGCCAACAAAAGTACTGAAGGCCCGAATAATATATTGTACAGTTTATTGCCTGACATATTTCACGGTGCCTCACAGCTGGTTCAGGACAACAGACTTAACTTCAAAATGTTGTGAAGCACAGAACATGAGCTCTTTTAACTGAAATACACAAATGACTGTCTCTTGCCACACTGTGCGTCATACGACAGATGGGAGATGTACAGTGAAACAGTATTTGGTGATCGTGTGATTAATCTAAGACCTCCATTCGGGTGAAAGAGAACTGGGTAATGCCTATAAACATTCTTTACAAAAGAAAGAGTGTATGAAATCTTTTTAGTGTTTATAGGCTGTAAACTCTATTGAAAAATCCTGTTTGATTGTCCACTTTGGACTATGGCTTTGTTCCAGAACTTGAGTAGTTTTATGTGCACATTATTGTTATAGATCCAAATTATTTGTTTGCAGACTGTTAATTCCTTGCCTCACGGGCAGATGCCCTCTGACACACACACACAAAAAAAACTTTATTATTGATGACATGCTTGTTAAGGGAAAGACCCCCACCCCCAACTAAACATTACAGGTAATTAAAAGGCGAGGAAGAGATGCAGGCACTGAATAAGACAGAAACTGATAATAATATAGCACTGGAACTCATAAAATCAAAGGAATCAACACAGATTCAAAGGAAAAAACAACACAGGGAGAAGAGAATGGGGAGGGGAGTGAAAAACAATAAGGATTACATGGGGGAAGTTGCACATGATAGCAAAAGTGAGTCAGGTTGATGGGAGTTGGTTGAGGACCTTTATCCCTTGGGGAAGGAGGGGGGGGGGGGGGGGGGGTAAAGAGCAGAAAAAGAAGGGAATAGGCACACATAACTTTCTAGTTCTTCTTCCTATGTGGCTCATCTTTTACATGGAATGTTTTTCTTCACTTCCTTTTTTACCGCTTCTGGTGTCGAGGAAGATTTAAAGTTGTGTTTGTTGCAGTTCTGGTCACCTTGACCATAGACACATTATGCTGTTGTAGAGTTTTCTGATATCTTTCTATCTTGTTCTTGGTCAACTTGTGCTCTTCATCCATCTTCTCTTCTTGTGTATGCCTTGTATGGTGGAGCGCCACAAGGCTTTCTCTCTGAGTGAGCTAACCATTTGGTTTGCTGTCTTTGTGTGGAAATTAAAATTGTTTTTGTGGCGACCTGTTCTCTTACGACCTCATTCCTGATATTGTCCCTTCCTATCACTTCTGCAACCCTTCTCAGATATCTGATTTCTGTGATTACTAGTTTTCTTTCATAGTTTGTTGAGTGACCATGTCTGACACTGGCAGCATAGAATGGGAATACATATGCTTTGTATGAGACATTTCTTTATGCTGATCAGGATTGTCTCATTGTGTAAGCAGGAGGCTGGCCGTTAACAATGCTTATACCCTGGTAAGCAAGTGACTACGGTGAACTTCTGGCGATTTCCAACGACTAGACAAAACCACAATGCATCGAAAGGAACTATTCACATTTCAGTTGAATTTATTCAGCTTTGTGCTTCATTTTATGTTGATTTAACTCTGTAGTAACGCAACTGACGAGATACAGCGAAATATGCCTGGCAATAAATTATGCAATCAACTGCATATGTTAATTTTTTCATCCTGTTTCCAATCTTTATTTAATGCTGTTCCCAGATATTTAAATTCAGTAGGAAGACAAACAAAAGAACACCAAATAAGACAGCCAAGGAACCTTCCTTCATATAGCAGGCCTTCGGGCGGCTGAAAAAGAATCAAGTTTAGAATTTTTGTTTTTCAAATTGGAAATGGAAATGGATTTAAATTCCGGTGCCTGTTTAATGCTTTTGCGCTCTTCTGTTATATTTAGTTTCTGCTTCTTTCTTCCTATTGACATTACTTCTATATTTTCAGTGTTGATTTTTTTAATTAGGTATATTTATGTTAAAGTTTTACTGCTAATCTTTTTTTATAACTATGACCACCTTACAGCATTACATTTGTATCTTACAGGGAGAGCTTGCCTTTCAAATATGGGGTCATGAAGTGTTCAGAGGACGAGAGAAAGGCGTAAACCTAATCACAGAAGGCCGCAAACTAGACTGGGTCCTGGTCCCGAAAGAAGAGGAGAAGGAATTCTGTGCTGTCCGTGAAGTGTATGATATCAAACAAATCCCAGTGCCCACGCACATGAACTGCCCACCTCTGCTGGAGTTGAGCATCAAGGGTGAGATGAAAGCCAGAGGTCAAGCACCGCCAGAGAAAATACAGATTCCTTTTATTGCAGACAATTATATCAAGGAGTTAGATTCATATTGGGCATAATGTGAACATTTTTTGGGGAGGTTTTATTTTATTGAATACAATTTGTGTTAAATATCAATCTGTTAATGTGATTTTTGGTGTGTTTTGTTTTGTTTTATGTTAATAGCAGTTTTTTTTTTAAAGACTCTGTGGGTGGGTTCTGGGACCCAATTGGGGAGGAGAGGGGGCCATTGGAGAATAGACTCACCGCTTCTTAACCAGTATGTTGTAAAATGTGACTAGTGAAGAATTAGCTGATATCAGAAAAGTGTTTGGCTGAAAGTTGCAGATACCACAGCCTAGCTGTAAACACCAAAAAATTTGCTTTTTTTTTTTAAATTAAGGGTGAGCGCAGAAGACGACAGTTGTGGCAGCTTGACGATTGTTCTTATACGTGGTGATTGTTCTAGTACTTGGTGATTGTTTTAGGACTTGCTGACTGTTCTAGTACTTGATGATTGTTGTTATACTTGGTGATTGTTCTAGTACTTGCTGACTGTTCTAGTACTTGCTGATTGTTCTTATACTTGGTGATTGTTCTAGTACTTGCTGATTGTTCTTATACTTGGTGATTGTTATAGTACTAGCTATTTGTTCTTATACTTGGTGATTGTTCTAGTACTTGCTGATTGTCCTAGTACTTGGTGATTGTTATAGTAATTGGTGACGGTTCTAGTACTTGCTGACTGTTCTAGTACTTGCTGACTGTTGTAGTATTTATGTATTGAAGTTGTTTTGGTTGTAGTATTTATGTATAGGAGCGATTATGGCTTGCACGGTCACAGCTTTGGCAGCACTTGTACTGGACAAAGGAGACATTTATGAACAAATGCTAATAAAAGACACAAGATTAGATAAAATAGCATGTGTGAGAATATGTGAACCGGGAATTTGGGGATCTTGCAAGGAGGGATGTATGAGAGACTGACGTGTGTATAATCAATGTGCTACAGAAATAGTTAGTATCTACATTGTAATACATTTGTTGCAGAAGACAAAGCATCTGTAGGCATGTGATGTTGATTCTTAACTCAGTAATCAGTCACAATAATATAAAGTGTTATGATTTAGAATTTACAACCTCTTTGTCATGTTTTGCAGAGCAGACACAATAGTAAATATATAATTTCTTTGTGTTTTCTACCTCGTAAAGGAAAACTAAATTTATGGTGTCCCTTAAAGTTTGAACAATGAATCAACATGATGGCACATGAATAGTAACCCATAAGTGCTCAATTCTTTCTTCTTACTCAAGTCTGAGTCTGAAGAAGCTCAGCACAGGCTCTGTAGCACCTGCGAGGATCCTGAAATACTTTGGGTAGATTTTTAACTAAAAATGTTGCCCGGGCAGCGCCACTAGGCTACTCTTTTTGATTTCCAACTGCCAAGGGATTTTCTACATGCGCAAAAATGCACACGGGCACGTCTGATCTCACTACCCAGAGACCAGGGGAAATAAAGTCCACATGAAAAAATTTCAGCCCTTACAGGGGATTGAACCTGGAACCTCTAGCACTCGAGGCGGACACTGTGCCTCGAGACCCCGCAGCCCCTAATAGTGTCCAATGAAGAGGATAAAATATTTCCCAGTTTACTAGAATTTGTAATTCAGCACAAATATTGCAGCACTCAGAACATGTTGACCTGTGCTCTGACTTCCTCAGGAGGTTACAAAGAGTATGAAACATTTTCTCGCCGCATAGCCAACATTTATTTTATGAAAGTTTAACGCATTCCAAAACAAGGGTCTGAGAAAAAAGTTTTATGAATAAAATGAGATGATTTCATAAGGAGCGAAGAAATAAGGGAAATGTCTCGGCAACCACTGGTATCAGTTAAAAGACAGAGACGATCTCTATATTGAACACACCCTGAGAAGAACGCAGCAGAGAATCACCAAACAGGCATTAAAGGGAAGCTGGAACGCCCAAAAGAAACACTAAGATGAATGTTGATGAGAGAGACCAAAGTTGCTGGACAGATTTCTATCCATGATATTGACTTCAACGCACAGGATTAGAATGGAATGAAGGATTAGACTGCAAGCCCTAAGCGATATATAATGGCACAACAGGATAATGAATGAATGAATATCTAACATTTATTTTATTGTTGCTGTATAGGCCACACTTTCTCCTAAATTGTTATTTCAAAATGACAAAATGATTGTTCTGTTTCATTTTAAATACTACAAGTGAAGATAGGGATACGTTCTTGTTCCCAGTGCAAGGAAGAGCATCATCATCATGAAGTGCCATGCTGACTGGCATGGGCGATCAGGCCTTTCCACCACCTGAGGTTTTCAACAGCATGTATCAGGTCACGTGCTGACACCCCTGCATGCCATGACAGAAGGCTGTAAAGAATTTACTTCCTCTATCTTTTCTTTCCTCCAGATCTTTGTAATTGTCACAACATGATCCAGCTTCCTTCTTCTTATAACATGACTACAAATAAAATGTTGACTATCTCTTTCTGTTTGTGATAAGTTGTCTTTGAGCCCTCATCTCTCTCAAAACATCTAGGTTGTGTGTGTTTTGTTTTTTGGGTGGTCCAAGGAACTGTAAGGATTTTCTGTTTAATAACCACATCTCTGAGGCCTCAAATAACTGACTGGCTTGTTTATTAATTGTCCAGGATTTTTTTTTTTAAACCGCCCACTACTGTCCGTTTTACCACTTTTTAGGTGTAGACAAGGGGCTTAAGGGCCCCTGGCTAATGCTGTCACTACGAACTGTGCAGGTTAGGATATTTAATTTTGCCCCTGAAAGAAAAACTATTACCAGGGAGGGGGGGGGGGGGCATCAAACTCAGGTCTCCCTGATAGCTAGGTCTCCTGCATGAGAGCCCAAAAATGTTGTAACCTGCCAGCTATTCCTCAATAGGGAGATGTCAGTTCTAATTCCCAGAAAGGAGGACAACAAGTTCCTGTTCCTACTTGGTCATGCCACAAACATTCAGTGAATCATCCTGGACTTTAGATCATAACAATTAAATGGACAAGTTTTTTTTTTCCTTTCCCTAAGTCCCTTGTAGACAGTTTCTTCAGTCAGTGGGATGCATGTCTAAATGCCCTGATTAGTCTAATTTTACCTCATGCTCATTAGGGGGGCAGTGGGTCTGTTCTGTCCTTTTTCTCCCCACAGTTGGGCACCCGTAGCCCACAAGTTTCAAATATATGTCACAAACAAGGCCATATTAAATGATAAAGTTGTTTACAAAGAACAAGTAAAGTAAAGAATCCTTTTCCCGCCTGTGGTGCTTCAGGCATATTTTTCTAGACTAATTGGCCTTCAGTGGGTGATGGGATTATTGTCATGTTGGCTGCCTTTACTTCCCATAATGTTTTAGTTAAGGGGGCCTGTAGTTGAGGCATGTACTGGCCTTAGTTGAAAGCTGTACTGACCCTAGTTGAAAGCTGTACTGGCCCTAGTTAAAAGCTGTACTGGCCCTAGTTAAAAGCTGTACTGGCCTTAGTTGAAAGCTGTACTGACCCTAGTTGAAAGCTGTACTGGCCCTAGTTGAAAGCTGTACTGGCCCTAGTTGAGAACTGTACTGGCCCTAGTTGAGAGCTGTACTGGCCCTAGTTGAGAGCTGTACTGGCCCTAGTTGAGAGCTGTACTGGCCCTAGTTGAGAGCTGTACTGGCCCTAGTTGAGAGCTGTACTGGCCCTAGTTGAGAACTGTACTGGCCCTAGTTGAAAGCTGTACCAGCCCTAGTTGAGAGCTGTACTGGCCCTAGTTGAGAACTGTACTGACTCTAGTTGTGATCTGTATTGGTCTAAGCTGCGATCTGTACTGCCCCTCCCTCCGAAAATCTTGATAAATTTGTCATGTAGGCAATGATTAGCAGACTCAAGTGACTTATTTGCGCGCCCCCCCCCCCCCCCCCCCCCCCCCACCCCCTTTTTGCATACATGGAGAAAGTAGAATATGATAAAAAAAGGTTAATTATGGTTGTCAGTATATGTTATGTAAACAATAACTCTGTCAGTGATGAGTTATTTATTACGTTTAATTTATAGAATAACAATCCAGAGGTTAAATAGTTTGACGAAATGGTTGCACAAAGCCAGTGAAAAAAAAAAACCCGGAAGAATGATACAATAATAGGAATATTAATTACAGAGTTGACTCATGAAAATTGTTAACGGTAGTAGTACAGCAGTTGGACGTTCACCTGCCAGCCTGACGGTCTGAGATTCAAATCCGCAAAATTTACCTTGGCTTCCAGGTCGGCCCAGTTTAAAATGATTACTAGGCGATGCCTTGGAAAGTAAAGCTGGCCGGCGGGATGTTGATCATCGAATACCGATCCCGGGAAGGCTAACCATGTCAACAAATGCCAGCAGAAGTCAGATTTTTTTATCTGAAAGCCCCAAATATCGCAGCCATGCTGTAAAGGAACTTAACGCAGCTACGTTCTCGGATGAACGCGGAAGAAGAAGAACACCGATTGGTCTAAAATATATGTGGCATGGGCGCACAAAACATTAGGGCTCAGAACCCTTGAGGCCGCCTCCCTCCCCAACATTTGATTAGGGAGTTATGTGGCACTGTTTATCAATATTTAGACATTATCATTAAAAGTATGTGTTTATACATTTCATAGCATTTCAAATAAATTAAATTACTTGTCTTTCAACACAGTGTTACAGTACTCTTTAACAAGGATCAAGCCCCTTGAGGCCTCTCTTGCCTCGTTAAATTGTGAGGACCACCCCTCCAGCCCCAATGTTTCGTAGGCGTTGACGCTGCTGCTATAAGAGTCACACCAGGCTTGTAGTTTGTAACCTTTTTTCCACACTTCCTAATGAAGAAGAGAAGTTAGACATTAAATAACTTGAATGATATATTCCCTGTGTGGGTTCCGGGGCCTTATTAAAGGGAGAACAAGAACAGATCCACTGCCTACCCAAAAGTATGTCGTAAGAGTCGACTGATTGGGAGCTTTCTTCGAAGTCGGAGCGCATCTGCTTGAGAGGCAAGGAACCAACAGTCTGCATACAAATTAGTCAGATC